TATCCCACTCAGCAATATATTCACTAGGGCAAGGAATATAAAGGAAAGAATAAACAAATCAGACTACACTAAATTAAAAAGCTTCATGGCTAAAGAAAACATCAATGAAATGAAAAGGGAACCAACCACATGGGAAAACATATTTGCCAAGGATACCTGAGACAAGAGTTTGATCTCTAAAATATATAAAGAACTCACATGACTCCACACCAGGAAGACAAACAATCCAATTTTAAAAAATGGGCAAAGGACCTCAACAGGCACTTCTCCAAGAAGGACATACAGAGGGCCCATAGACTTATGAAAGGATGCTCAGCATCACTAGCCATTAGGGACATGCAAATTAAAACTACCATGATCCCTGGCTGTTGTGGCTCAGTGGTTGAGTGCCAGCCTGCGAATCAGAGGGTCGCTGGTTTGATTCCCAGTCTAGGGCACATGCTTGGGTTGTGGTCCAGGTTCCCAGCTGGGGGTTCATGAAAGGCAACCACATATTGATGTTTATCTCCTTTTTCTCCCTCCCTTTACCTCTCTAAAAATAAATAAATACAATTTTTAAGAAAGCAAAAACCATAATGAGATACCACTTCACACCAGTCAGAATGGCCATCGTTAACAAATCCACAAACAACAAGTACTGGCAAGGTTGTAGAGAAAGCTAATAGCTTTTTATTGGAATATGTCTATATGAATGTAGCAACTAGGTTCTGAGAAAGTTTCTAAACATAATGTCAGCTCAAACCACTGGTGTGGTCTGGTCCCTTGGATGCATCACCTAATGCACCAAAGAATTTGTATGCTTTTCTCCTATTCATCCTGCCACAAGTAGAATGATTCTGCAATTCTGTAGCAAAGACCACAGATCCGAGCTTACCTTTAAGCAAGGTTCAAATGCAAGGTTCAAATTTTATGCAAGGTTAAAATGAGACACAATACCTTGTCATAAGGCCTGGCACAGAGAAAGGGCAGCTCTCAGCACTCCTCCTAAATTTGTGAAGGTATGAAGGCCCAATTATATAATGAGATAAATTAACTGTATTATCTACATGGTACTATGTTAAGTCACTTGAAAAGAAAATGATTTTGGCAGTCCATCAATAAGTTAAACATAGAATTACTATATGACTTAACAATTCCACTTTTGGGTAGAAGAATTTAAAATAACTTAAAAAATTCATTTCAAAAGAACTGAAACACATGTTCCAAAAATTCTTGGATACAAATGCTCACAGCAGCACTATTTTCAAAAGCCAAAATGTAGAAACAACCAAAATGTCAATCGAGTAACTTATGGATAAACAAAAGGTAATGCATTTATCTAACAAACAAGTGTCTAACAGAATATTATTTAATCATAAAAGGGAATGCAGTATTGATGCATGCTACAACATGGAAGAACTAGCAAAACATTATGATGAGTGAAAGTGTCAAACGAAAGGTCACATGTTGTATCATTTCATTTATATGAACTAGGCAAACCCATAGAGACAGTAAGTAGATTAGTGGTTGTCAGGGGCTGAGGGAACAGCGAAATTTGGAGTAACTCCTTAATATTTGTGGGTTTTTCTTTTCTGTTGATGTAACTATTCTGGAACTAGTGATGGATACACAGCCTTGTGAAAGTATTAAATGTCGCTGAAATGTATACTTCAAAATGGTTAATGTTATGTCATGTGAATCTCCTTACAATAAAAAAAGAAAAATTATTTCAATCCATGCATCTTTGAAAGGAAAGTTTGTCCTCAAAAAGTCAGAGTTCACCAAACATAGCTGTCACTGTTGCTTCCACTACTACACACACATTCTTTCTTGGTCTTTAGCTTTTCAACCTTTTCACATGTCCTCAATCCCTATAAGCAGGTTTCATTTGCAAATGTTTATAACCTTGTGCTCACTTCTTGCTTCTTGGGCCCAGTTAAGGGGAATAAATCATCATCTTGCTTTACTTTATATCTTCCAGTTAAACCTTGCTTTTAAATAATAAAGCTTCATTGAGGAAGGCATGACTGGTCTAAGGATGGCATGCCATGAAAATCTTCTGACTCATCAACTGGGACTATTCAAGGGTGGCAGGACTTACACAAAGTCACCACATACATACTAAAATGCCAGATAATTTGGGCCAACAGACTGGATGCCACTTCTTCAGGTAAATGTGAAAAACAATAACTTAAGGTAAAAAGCAGATTGAATTTATATAATCATAGAGAGGAAATCAATATGCAAAATCTACATTCACATTGTTGATTAGTGCTTTAAACATTTCCATTAAAAAGTAATGTTACATCTGTCAGAATCAATGGCCTATTTTTGTTTGTTTGTTTGTTTTATTCACCAATATGAAGCTCCTGTTATTGGAATATTAAATGCAGAATGCAGAAATAGCAAACATTGGAATTTAAATGTGCATTTTACATTTGTGTTGAGGCCCATGACTCAAGTATGAGAGGGACTGTTTGCATCCTGTATATTAAATATACTACATGCCCTTGGGAGACAGTTGTGTTTGTTCTTTTTTTTAAAGACAAAAAACATGTATGAATGACCCAGAGACATGAAAAACAGTCTGGGAATTTACTGTGGGAGTGGGGGATGGGATGGGCAGAGGAAGGCAAAGGGAAAAATTGGGACAACTCTAATAGGATAACAATAAAACTGATTTAATAAAAATTATATGAATTCGTTTATTTTCATGGCCTTTTGACATCTGCTGAAATGTGGGTCCATGGTAGGGCTGTGGGGTGCTTCATATCTGCCTCCCTCCTGAGGTCCTGTTTGCCACTGGAGAAGCTAAAAGTGTATTTAGAAAGGCATGTTCCCAGTAACAGTGAGAGATATTTGGGGCCCAAGCTGATGGCATCAAATACACTGATTTGTCTCTTCATTCATCCTGTTATGGCTTCAGATAAATAAGGCAGTTGCTAATGAAATTGTTGTCATTGTGTGTCGTTTCTGTACCTTGAATATTCTTGTGTCAGAGATCTTATTCCTGGTCTTATTTCTGTTCTAAAGGCTCATCAAGTTCTTTTTTTCTCTGGACATGGAATCTAGATTTCAGTTTTAAAACCAAATTTGTACTCTTGATCCTGGAACCCTAATTTCCTTAACAAATTGCTCTCTGGAATCAATCCCAGGGTAAGGGTTGTTTGCAATGTTGTGATGAGGGTGTATAACTGGGAGGAAGTATAGCTGGTTGTGATACCATCTACCTCACTACTTTGACTCTTCTCTACAGGGTGACCTTTCTTTTGGCTTGCTTCTATGTGCTCCTCACATTATGATTTTTCTGGACTTGGTGCCCAGCTCTTCAATTCTGAAACAAAATCTGGACTTTAGACTCTTCAATGTCCATTTATAAAGCAAGTTGTTGCTTGGTAGCATAATCTGGGTAAGGTTTTGGTTGAATATTTTGATAAAGATTTTTAATTGATCTTTGGTAAATTTAGTACAGCTTCAGCTATGATTCATTGTGATTGGAGAGTTGCCTTGAGCCATGTTGGAAGAGAGAAGTCTCAACCTTCAACTGGGAAACAGAAGCTTGGTGGTGAGGCTGGTTTTATAAAAATTGTGTTTGTTCTTGACAATGCACCAGAGTTGTAATGATTTAATTTGTACATATTATCAAAAATGCAGTGAGTCCTCCCTCTCAGGAGGATGTCCATGCCTTTCTTCCCCCACGGGTGTGTATCTCCTGAACTCTAAATGTTCCCATAAGACTTGCAACCAGTGGAACAATGAGTAGCAGCAGCTTGTCTTAGGCTAACCCCTTGAACCTATCTGCCCCTTTTCTCTGACTTTCCAGTGAGCTAAAGCAGCTCACCTAGGCTCTTTCCTGTTGCTTCCTCTGTCCTAAGCCCTTCCTTGTTTCACTGTACCCATCTTTAATAAATGTCCTCTCAAAAAAGTAAGCAGATTAAAGTGGAGAAAGTAAAGGACATATAAGATTGAAGATGTGTTCAATTTTAGAATTATACAGAATGGTAGGAGTTCTAGTGTGATAAACAACTGTAGATGTAAATGAAATAGGTGAGACTTGAGAATTTTTCCTAAGCTTTTCTTTGCAGGTTCCTCACAAAATATTTAGTGATATGGAATTCCATGTTTGTTAACTATCTTAAAAAATCAGTGCATGAGCACTTTTTAAAACATTCTGGTTTCATTCAGTCTTACAACTTAGCAGACTTCACTGTAAAAGGAACTTGGTCAGGGCTTTAAAAAAAGACAGTCATTCTGTGTTCCTAATTTGAGGTTATAAGCACACCTAGAAGGACTTCACATGTACGATAGTCCTCTGCCACAGAGAAAACACACAAGCATCATCGACACCATAGACTATATTGCCATTTTCATGATTCATAAAAGATAAAAAAAGATACTTGGCCTTTTCAAATCAAGAATCCAGTCTCATCGGACATTCTGCAAACACATTTTTTTTTCCAATTTTAATTTAGTGGTAAGTATTGTAAATGTTTGTAATGCAGAATGGAAGTAAGGCATCAGCAAGCTTTTGACACATGGTTTTTTGCCTGAAGTTTCATGTAAGCTGTAAGATGCTGGGTACTGATTCTCAGCTGTGTTCTGAAGTGGTGCACATGGTAAAGGTGAATGAAGTGGCATTTACATTTTAGTTAATTAATGAGTGTGGGCTCTAAGCCTCACACTGTAGTCACTAAAGGAAATTTACACCTTGTTCAAAACAATACTTAGCCCAAAAGAGGGAAAGACAATTTCAATTGCTTACTGGTGACCAGTCTTGTATATGCCAAGAAGAAAGCGATGGAAAAGGTGAAAGCTCTTTTCAAGTGCTCAGCATCTCCTTACTGTAGTTTTAAGGTTAGTATAAGCTGATGCAATCTGTTTCAGAACATTATGCCTTTGTTTCTTTCTCTCTCACCAAAGACCAGACATGAAGTAGAGAGTAGACTTGTGGATGGCAAAGCCATTCCAGTTCCCTTTGCTCCCACCCTTAGGTCCCAAACCAAGCCCTAAGCTGTTCCTACCTGGTAGAATTTAGTGGCAGTGCACTGAGTGGTCAAGGTCTTCATAGGCACAAGGTCATCTTCATCACTGTTCAGCTTCAGGTCATCCTCAAGCATCCTACAAAATATACAGAGTGTTGTTTACATTAGAAAGTGTATTTTCTAAATCATCCTTAGATACATCTTGAAATGATGATAAAATATTGTAGCTACAGTTCAAAAGCTGCAATTGTGATAAAGGTGCAGAGAGAACCAAGGTTTTTTTCAGCTAATTAGATATTTGAGTTCTTATATTTGTGTCATTTTCTGCACAAGTCTTCCCTATCTACCTTCCCCTAAATGAAGTGGAAAAAATGACTGTTTCAGCATCTCCAGATATGACTGGAGTTAATACATTTTTACTACTGGAAGTGTAATAAATGTACTGATCAGTCACTGTGGAAGTAGGGCATGACATTGGATCTCTACAGAAAAAGATGTTCTAAGTCTCCCATGAAAGAGTAGAGGTATGATAACAGCCCCTAGCTCCAGAGATGGGTGTCAAAGCCTGCTGGGGCTCTCTAAATGACAGGCAAAAGGCCCAGTAAACTTTCACTACCTTTTAGTGACCTCTGCACTGTGGCAACTTAGTGCCCTCAAAATAGCTGGGAGATAAATGGCTAGTCACTAACTTTTTGATATATGATTTCTTTCTGTAAAATTTGATCCAAGAGATGTAAGTTCATGATATGGATAAGAAATATTTCTCCCTAAGGCAAGGTACCTGAAAAATATGAGTGTATTAAATTTTGGTGATGAAATAGTACCTTCAAAATTGTTTATCAAACACATGGAGCCTTTTGTTTCTACAGGAATATTAATTCCAATGTGACTTGCTCTTTGTATAAATTTGAGCTACAGAGGGAAGAATATTTATTATCTTAAAATTCTGGTTACACATCCTTCAAAAAGCAATTAGTGTTAATAGTTTTATTTCATAAATACAACTTCAGACCTTGTCCACAGACTTTAAGTGGGGACTCTTTCTTTCTGGTCATGAAATTCTTTATTTTCCTTGTGTATCTGTGTGTGTGTTAATACAAGTAGGCAATGGCTATGTGTTAATTTATACCAAGTTTTTATCAAAATAAATAATAAACAATTCCTATAATTTAAAGAATTTATTTCTGTGTCAGAGAAGGTGGTACTTATCTGACCAGGACCAGTCATTTGGATAATATGAAGGAGATGCTGTTTTAGCCACATTTTCTAAATGGAAACACCAAGGCTTAGAGAGGAGGAAGAACTTGTTAATTATCACACAGCTAGGAAAGCATGAAACCCATTCTACCTTCAGCTGGAACTTGAGAGTATACAATATTTTTCTAGAGGGTATAAATTATAAAAGATGGTACATTAAATAAATAAAATCAACAGCAAAAACAAAAAAAAACCCAAAACAAAAAAAAAGTATTGATATATTGGGATTCAATTAAATATATTTGGATTAAACTGCTGGCTAATCATAAATTCTAATATCTTGGGTAAGTCATTTACTATCTATGAGCCTCATCTGTGCTTTTCATCTGTTAAATAGGATGATAATTAAACGCTTGCTTGTGAAATGCTTTATGAAAACACAAAATTAATGCAGAGTATCATTGTTAATTTGGACATATATTATCACAGAAATAATGTACACCATTAATATTACTAACAAGTAATCATAAGTAAAGTCTTCAATGTGAGGCCATGGTGACTCAGAATGGTCTCATGGAGTCTCAAAGGTGGATCCAGAAATGGGTTCATGGTCTTCACTACTCTTCTTCTTGTAGAACTAGCACATCCAGAACCAGAGTGTGAAGAGCTAAACTCAGCTGCTATTTTACTTTCCAATCAACCCTATATAATTTTAACATGGAAATTAAAGGCCCTCAACTATACAGTTCTGAAAATAGAAAGCCAATCCACATAGTGATTGATGTTAAACACCCTGGTGTAACAAGGTTGGTATATATTTGGTTGTTAATAAAGGACAATTTGATGTGTGTATTGAAGTCCCAGTGAACTCAAGTCAAGAAAGTAACTAGAAAGGCAAACTATCATTAGTTATATCTAGAGGTGTTAAACATTGATTTAATTCCACTCTTTCCCTAACCTATTGAGGGTTTTTATTGAATATACATGTACTTGTTTGTTTTCCCATTCATAGCTAATGCTGAACATTACTCTAGGGAAAGTATAAGATTATAAATGATTTTGGATTTAATTATTATAGCAGCACTATTCAAATTCATTGTAGTTAAGGTAGTCTTAGCATAAAAATGGTAATCTCTTTTAATGAGGTTATAATTCCACAGACAAATTCATAACATACCAGATATCCCAAAATATGAAAAAAACACACTCATATAAATGTAGGTGTGTGTGTGTGTGTGTGTAATCTTATAAAAAAACAGCAACAATGATTATTCTTCCACTTTTAAATTAGATGAAAACAGAACAAAGTAGATGTCTTGAGTGACTTCAGATATTTGTTCAGGATTTAATAGTTCACAATGTCCGTCTTTGTGTGAAAACTCTCTGTTTTTATTTTTACTATCACTTGTAATTTATATAGTACTGAGAAGTAAAATAGTTCAGAAAACGGTGTCAACAAAATCAAGTCCTTGCCCTGAAGAGGTGATCCTATAAAAGCTCACATTTAAAAAAAAATGGGGAAGATGAGATAGAATGAACAAAAAGAAGAGTAAAGGTATCAGAAAAGGGAGAGTTGTTCTCAGGGTCTTGTCTATTTCTAAATCTCTGAGCCTCAGGCTGAATTTGGTGGCCTAAGAAGTCTCTTTCCACTGAGACATACTAGGGCACTATGAAGTGACAGGCCTTGTGTGACTTTTAACCATAAACATTGTCATTTCACATAGTGGAGTGCTTAGGTGGCTTTGAGGAGGAAAAAATAGAGGGCTTGAAACATTAGTACAGAAGTTTTTATTGAAATGAAGACTTCAGTTGAGGCAACGTGAGTTTAAGAGCAAAGGCTTGGGAGCCAGACAGCAGACCTGAGTTTGAATACAGGACTTTCTAAGAGGCATGCTCTACTCTAATTTATTTATTTATTTATTTATTTATTTATTTATTTATTTATTTATTTATAGAGAGAGGGGAAGGGAGAGAGAGAAACACCAATTGCCTCTCATGTGCCCCCTACTGGGGACCTGGATCATGACCCAGGCATGTGCCCTGACTGGGAATTGTACCAGCAACCCTTGGGTTCACAGGCCTGTCCTCAACCCATTGAGCCACACTAGCCAAGGCTAGGTATGCTCTCTTGAATTAGATAATAAAAACTCTTTGAATCTCAATTTTCTCACATGTTAAAATGGACAACAGTAACTTTTTTGGAGAATTTTTGGGAGAATTATAAAAAGAAAGTTCATATAAATTACCTAGGAGTAAATATAGGCAGTTGTTGTTTTCTTCTTGGATATTATTGCTATTATTGATATTATCATTACCTGAGAAATGGTGCTATAGAGGATGGAACAATAATTTTTAAAAAGCTGTGGTAGTGACCCAAAGACTAGCAGAGGTATCAAGGAACACGTATCATTGGAAGCTCCTGACCAGATGAACAGAGGTTCTGAGATCCTTCAGGAGTTTTGAAAGTTTCAGGGCTTGAACTTATTCTTTTAGTAAGGTCTAAACCCATCATGACTGTTTTGACTTTTCTGAGATCCTGTTAGAATACTTAAGATACCCTGAAGTTTTGAAAGTTTGCTGTAAAAAGAAACACACAGACAATTCCAAATGAGAGTTAAAAAAAAAAAAGGAACATCCTCATGTCCTGCTATTTATAAATGTGCAGTTACCTGAAGATCCAGAGAAATAGGCCAAGGGTGGCTCCCACTGGAAGTTGTGCTTTCCTTGGGCACCTTGTCTTTCTCTGGCCAGCCACTCTTAGGAATCAGTTGCAATACATAACTGTCTCTGACCTTTGTGTGTGTATAAGACTGGGCTTCAGAGGCTGTTAATTAATTCAGAACCCTTACTCAAAATCAACTTTTGGAACCATTAATTCAGAACCCTTACTCAAAATCAACTTTTGTAGGTTGCAAGTGCATTTTGTGAATTACAAAATTGGCCTTCTGAGAAAAACGGTCATCAGGCGCACCACTTGATACTGGCTGGATTACAGGTTCCAGGTATCTATAACAATAACTTCAGTATAGGTGATTGATGCTCAGATCAACCCTGGATCTTTTTTAAAGATTTTATTTATTTATTTTTAGAGATGGAAGGGAGGGAGAAGGAGAGAGAAACATCAATGTGCGGTTGCTGGGGGCCATGACTTGCAAACCAGGCATGTGCCCTGACTGGGAATCAAACCTGTGATGCTTTGGTTTGCAGCCCGCGCTCAGTCCACAGAGCTATGCCAGCCAGGGCTTCAACCCTGGATCTTACAATTGGAAGTGCCTGTGTTAATCTATTTCACCTTGTCACCCAGTAGCTGCAACACCTCCAACATATGGCCATAAGCCATTGTTTGATGGATAGAAGACAGTATATTTCTACTGTTCAGTAACCTCAATTGTTTGAAAGTTCTGCCAGTTAGGAATTTTTCTGTCCTTTCTTGTATCTTCCATGTGGAATCCTAAGCCATGTTACTTATAACCCACTCTTGTAACATAGACTTGCAATGTTGTTGGAGATATAGATGGTGCTGCTATCTCCATTGTGCAGAGGAGGGTGTTTCACACAGGTTTTAGGCTCAAAATAAAAATTAGGAGCCATAGCTTCATCTAAGTTATTTTGGGGACTTCAGGAGACTAGTTTAAATGACCATTTTCTTCATGACAATCAGAGTAAGTTTTTATGGCTCCGAATGAATAACAAACCTGATCTGGGTTGAGCATTTTAGTCTGTGGAATTCCTCAAAGCCTCTGCTTTCTCATCAGACAGTGTCTTACTGTGGGCCCCCTTCTGGAATAGTAACTTAGCCCTATTAACTCCTTAAAGAGCATTTCATCTTCATAAAGTAGGCTGGGAGGAATAAAATATGACAGGTTTAGAATTACTTAGGGAATTATATATTTCCCTTCCTAATGTCAGCAGCATTGTATTGTCAGCAGCATTGAATCA